TAGTTCTCGTGATCCCGGAACTCTGTCACGATCCTGTTCAGGTCGGAGGGTCGAGCCAGGTACTGGAACGCCACGTCAAGCACGATGGGAACTCCATCCTGGAACAAGACCACAGCATGTTTGTCTGTTAGTTCATTTCATATAGCCAGTAAACCACCCTTAGGAGTAACACACCAATTTTGTACAGTGAGGTTTGATCCACAAACACCAAGAGGGACCCTACTCTTTTGTGTGATGAATGGTGGGTAGCTGAAGCTAGGTACAATGTACTCATTTTCACCTGAGTGAAGTGAGGAAATAGGTGTTAAGAAGTACCATTCCCAAGGGCACAACACTAGAGTCTGCTAGGGTTTCGAACCCAGAACCTTTAGATTCAAAGACAACAGGACCAGCATGTGGTACAAAATATACAAAAACCTTGAAGACTGAAGGAGACTGTCTTGAAAACAGGTGAGATGACTGTGCTCTAATTTTCAGTCTTTAATGTTAAAGACAATCTCACTTTGTTTAAGCAAGTGAGGCTGGTATACTGCAGAGTTAGACATGAGGAAACTTGAGAGATGACTGTACTCTAATGTCTTAAAGGAAACCTCACCTTGTTTAAGCAGGTAAGGCTGGTGTACTCCAGTGTTTTGAAGACAGAAGGAAACTTGACTGAACCTGTACCCGACAGGGCCGGTGTGTAAGCCCTCCTCCTTCACATCCGACCCCAGGTGCTTCTGTATCGTGTCATACGCAATGCCAACTGGGAACAGAAGGGACAATTTACTCATCCTCAAAATCTTAGTGTTACTGCATAGAAATTAACCTTCTCCCTACTGCCTAACCCAATAACCAATACAAACTTGGTGCCAAAGACCTTCCTTAGCATAGTGAAGGTTTGGGGACACAGGTGCCATAATATCTTCCAGTTTTTAAATTTATTTTAGGGAACAGGTGCACTAGTGCTTATAGCTAGAAACTTGGGTGCACATAAAGAACTTGCCAATGGATTATTGCCAAAAAGTTACAACCCTTATTACCCAATTTACTGTAATACAGCAAAGGCTTCCCTATTCTTACTGACACAGTTACATGTAAAGAACAAAAGGGAGTAGGCTAATTAATTAATTATACATAATTATACATAATTATAATATTATCTAACACCCACTTTCATCTGACTCTAGTCGCTGGAAAGAGCTGGCCACCAGAGCAATGATCATGACAATCACAGCTACCACGAAGAACCCGATGACATATTTCTTGTGTTCCTCTCCCATGGTGATCAGTCAGGTCTGCAATACAGAGGGATTATCATGAAACAATGGATGGATGGATGGATGGTTGGTTGGGTGGGTCTATGGATGGATGGATGGATGGATGGATGGATGGATGGATGGGTGGGTGGGTGGATGGGTGGATGGGTGGATGGATGGATGGATCAATAAATGATTAAAAGTTAAAAACTTAAAATTAATGTGTCTTGCAACTAGCCCACCCAGCCTCCCAGTCCAAATGGGTTTATAAGACACCAACAAAAGAGCCAACAAAAGAAAACATTATGATGCAAAATGGTCAAATCAAATCAAATTAATGGTAACATAGGAGGTAGATGTCAGACATATGTGATATGCGCACAGTACATGTGGTATATGTAACATGTAACAGTTTAACCAACCAATTTCCACACAGATCAGACCAAAGCCATAATCATTCCCATCTAACCATGACCTCATCCCTATTAAACCACAGTGGGGCCCCAGACAGGTTTCTCACTTCCTCTATCAGATCTGCTTTTTAATGAAGGACACTGACATGTGTAACACATGTGTTAATTTTCATGTACTAGTAGTACATCAAGCTCCCCTTTCCCTACTACAAACTAGGTAGAACAAATCGGCCTTGCAGCAAAAACTGAATTGCACCAACATTTATCAATAAAAACCTAAACGTGAATGGAATAAATACATTAGACTTTAACTGTTTAACATAATGTAAACTTACCTCACCCTAGTAGGATCTATTGGTACCCTACAGTAGTACTTAAACCTGACCTAAGCCCAGAGTTAACCACAGGGGAAACCAGAGGAGGTTTTCATTTCCTGATCCCCTTTCACACCAGGGATGACTCATTCTCATATGTGGGTTATAACAACAGCATCATGGAAAGTTACCCAACCCTAAACTCAGCTACTGTGCAGCTATCAAGGTAAACCCTGTAGGGTATGAGGGTTGACGAAACACAAGGAAACACTTCAATCAGAGTAAGGAGAATATTATTAAAACAAGGCAATGGCTCTCTACTAGCCTCCTTCGCAGTCTTGTTGGGCGTCGGCGTTATTTTTTCTCTGAGCGACGCAAGTAAAATGCGGCCGCGAGGGACGATTTGCTGCCGAGGACTTTTTGCTACGGAGAGAGCGCGAATCCTTCTCTCCGTAGCAAAAACTCCCTCGGCAGCAAATCGTCATTCGTGTTCGCATTTTACTTGCGTCGCTCAGAGAAAAAATAACGCCGACGCCCAACAAGACTGCGAAGGAGGCTAGCTCTCTACCAAGAAAACTGTTTTTACAGCACGTGTGTCTATGGATTGTGTGAAGAGGTGTTGACTTACTGATTTCCAAGAGGGCCAATACACACAACACTTAGGCAAGCTACCAATGGGGAAACTGTTAATGATTAAACAAGATCTGCTTTTAAGACACTTGCTCCAACAACATGTAAAAGGCACTCTATCAAATAGTATTCGGTGTATTGGAATGGTCCTGTTAGTATTATAGCAACCAGATATTTTTGCGCAACCAATATCGTCTACATCAGCTGTCAAGGGATACCAACTGTGACCAAGGGCTTTCCTGTAGTATATATTTAGAACCTTGAACATGCAGGGCCTGAACTTATATTCAAGCAGATGGTGAGGTGGAAGACTGAAAGATGAATTTTTTTCATATGACATATACTTGTAGTTACCTATACTTGGGTTGCCAGGGAAGATAATACTTGGGCAGCCTGAAAATGTTGGAGAGTAAATACTTAGTAGTCTCTCACCCAACATCTGCTTGGAGTTTATGTCTGTAAGTGGTCACTCCAGTCCAAGTAGAGGTTTGGCTTATTTTGGGGCGTTTTTCAGGCGTTTTTAGGCGCTGTGTCTGACAGTATACCGAAAGGTAAGCTGATAGAAATAGAAAGCCTTGCAAAACGCCTAAAAATGTTCAAAAAATCCTAACCTCTGCTTGGAGGGCGGTGCCACATCACAAGCATAATTTGAACCAACATGGCCTGGATAGAATCAGGTTACAACAACACAGATCGTGCATGTTTCACATCCCGCGACGCTGTCACGTATTTATAGACATCGAGACAACCTGGCATAGTCATACCTGGACAAATTATGATTTCTAGAAACATAATTCCAGATCCAATCTTATCGCTGATGTGCCAAAAGCAAGTTATTTTGCGATCGTAGTCGACTGCCAAACATGATCATGTCTTAGCTACCTAGCTCACGACGACTTCGGTTTCCAAACGTACAAAGGCACATCAACCATTTATGCAACATATCAATCATTAGTATCGTTCGCTGTACATTTGAGAATGTTCTACACGAATAAAACTCACCTTTACAAGCGGGAAAACAAGACAGAAAAGTCGGTAAAGATCAGAAACAGAGCAGCATGTCCCGCCCAACTCTCGTCGCCAAGCCGTCAGGTCAGAGTTCAGCAGTCATTATTGACCTCTTCATGTTTTCCCAGTCTGTGGAATTTCATTTGTTCCCAGAGGACCTCGCCTCGTCACGCCTACGTAATTTACAAAAGGGGAATAACCCTACAGCCGATACTGTTGTCACGCCTGATAGACAGACTATTAAAGCTCGATTTGGAATCAGATTGAAAAATATTTTTCCCCGTTTCCAAATGTTCCCAGATCCGAAAACCCTCAAGAGATCTAACTGTTAGCCCGGAAAGAAAACCTTCAATGGATCTAGCTGTCCACACCCAATGCGTTCCTGTTAGATCTTAGATCTCAATCAGGCCTGCAGGCCTGATCTCAATCTACCAAAATATCCCAAACAGATGCTGTCGTGTTTGTTTGAACAAGGGGGGTTGGGTTGAAACAGATTTTGTCAGAGGTCTTTTTATCTTATAGGAAAAATAGGTTGTCTTTCAGACATTCTACAAAGACAAATGACAAAACTACCCCAAAGCAGACACAGTTCACCTAGTCCTTGCTACTAGTATTGTACTTTGTAGTTCTGTGGCCATGTTTACATCAAAACACGCCCAAGGACACACAACAAACCCAGATGGAAAAGTCGTCTACTAATTCTCATGAGGTCAGAGGCAGTCACTGAAAAGCGCTATTAGCTTAAACTGTTCTCCTTGCTTGAGCCGATGCTTCCCATTCTCGTTTTCTTTCAGTTCTGCCTTCTATTAGATAACTTAGTTAGGTTACTTAGTAATTAAAATCTCTGCACGCACGTTGACTTTGAACTCTAAACCTAATTTTTTTTCAACAACATAATAACTGTTAATTGCATTTTTCTCTTAGGTGACTCTAATGATTGTGGGAATTGCAAATTGTAATGGACAGCCTAAGATGTGCGTTGTAGCCAAAGTTCTACATAATGCACACAGTTGACAATCACTTATTTTATTCAAGAATATATAATACACAGCCGAAAGTCCTTGCATATAGGGGTAAGGGGTTTAACGTTACCAGAAAAGTGCCCCCTTTGAGAAAGCATTGATGGGTGCGTCACCCGTTGCCATGGTGATTCGCCAGGGGGTGTGGCCTTTGGGCAGGGGCAAACCGCATACAAATGTACCAGAACTTCTATATTCACTTCAAATTCACGCGATTATATTAATGATATACTTGATAAAGTGAAATATAAATAAAATTAAATATATTTCGTAAATTATTGACGTTATTTGAATTTCGGTATGAAATGTTTTGAGTGCATGAGGCTCATTTTGGGTGGATAACACATTTTTGACATGCTTTCTGTTCTGTTGCATTCTCAAATTTCTCGTAGTGACCAAGAGAGCGATCGCGAAGGTGTGGCCCAACTATGATCTCCTAGCATCGCTTAGTCTGGGTTTTATGGTAAGTTTACGCCCCTTTTCGTTAGGATGGTAACTTGCGTTAGTTCTAGTCATATTTTCATGGGAGATTTTAGCTCGTACAACCCAAAACAGTCAATGTTTTGATGTTATGCCTTGCTGCCTATATGCGCCTAATTAATATGGCCTGATGTTTGTAAAAACATGAGTGGTTCCTGTTGCATGTTTTGGGAACAGAACTCATTTAGAAAGGCTACTTAAATCTTGTTCCTACTTTCCAGCCTTGACAACACCCTGTAAATGTCATAGTTGCCTGTGTGTATTTTCATATGTCGCAATTATGTGTCAAAATAATGGCATCAAAACTACCTAAGTAACGTTAGCCACTGTACAAAATTGCAACAACCAAGGAGGATTTAGTTGAAACTAGAAAGGCCAATATTTGCTTTGGAGCAAATACAGCGATGGGTTCACCACATTTTACGACATGGCAGGGAAAGAATGAGAAACACAAGGGAAAACAATGATTTACATTGATATAACTATAATATGAAGTAAAATACAACTAAAACAACAGTTGGATAGCTATTCCCTACTTTATTGGTTAGGATTTTTAATTGCATAATGCAAACTGTTGATTTTCAAAATAAAAAAAAACGTCCATGCCCCGCATTCCAATGCTGGAGCAGGAAAGCTTGAAATACCTACCAAAACACTTGAATACAGACATACTGTCAGTATGGAAATGCTCTGTGCAGGTGTTAATCAAGTTAAATCCCAACAGCCAATCAGCAAGAAATGCTCTGTGCAGGTGGAAATGCTCTGTGCAGGTGTTGATCAAGTTAAATCCCAACAGCCAATCAGCAAGAAGAATAGAGGAAAGCTGCATGCCTATTGGTTGATGCCCTGCATTCCATTGTGATGACTCATGCCCAAACGTGGTAAACAAGGCACACTAACACAGTAATACATTTGCTATAACACAGCCAAAAAACTCAAATAAAACCATTCTAAAAGCCTGTATCACAATAATTTTAAAAAATCGCCTAGGGGTATTTGCCCACTGTACCTCCATACCAAATTTCAGGACCTTGGGCCCTAAAATGAAGAAGCTGAATCCATTTAAAAAAATGGCAGGAGAAGAAGAAGAAGGAGGAGGAGGAGAAGAAACATCAGAAAAAGCAATATGGGTTCACCACCACTTCGTGGTGTGGTGAACCCATAAAAATGTGGAAAGAGATGTCATTAAACTAAGCTTTGTCTGCCAGCAAAATTTGACCCTCAAAATGCAGGAAATTGCATTTTAGAGTACAGTGTTCGAAATACCCGTCTGCAGTCTGCAATTTGCAGATAGATTTTCAAGATTGCAGAAGAAAAAATCTTACAATCTGCAATTTTGCAGAAGGAAAAAATAGGCTCCGGATTCAATAGTTTTCAATTAGCAAAGCAGTGGCGCTGTGAATAGATCGAAAACCTGCGCCGCACGAACCTGCCGGCGTTTTTCAGCAGACTGTAATGGTCCCATATAAGGGAATTTGGGGTCAAAGTTGAACGATTTCGACAAGGCGACGAAAGGCGACGATAACCAAATATGGGCACTCGCCATTTTCCGATGTTAGATTTCGTCTCCCGGGAGGACCCGACAACTGCCTCGTGAATTTTCGGCAGTTTTCGCTGAGCATTTCCCAGCAGGCAACACGGCAAAGGAAACATGGCTCCTCCGAAAAACCATATTGTTGCAAAATGAGAGAGACGGAGACTAAGGTAAACTTCTTTTATTTGAAGGCTGGATTTTCATTTTCCTGGCAGGCTTCTTTGTATGTAGTGATCATCAGTTATTCAGTAACAACAAATATGGATTTTTGTTCCGGTCAAAAAAACCGGTCCACCGACGTTTCGGTTTTTTTGGACCGGACCGATAAAGTTTTACGGTCCGAACATATTTAAAAGATTGATATTTTGAAGAATTTCAGTAATGCTACAGATTTACAAAGCTATAACTATTACCGTTAACGTTATATATATATGATGTAAGAATAGGCATTATTGGTTTCAGAAGGTTGTAATATGGGGGCTTGTGTAGTTGCAGAAAGTGTTTCCAAATTGCAGGACGAAATTTTGACTCTTCTGCAGAGCACTGAAAAAAAGTATTTCGACCACTGGAGTATATTATACACATTTTGTAGATTTAAAAATTTTCCAGGGGGAGCATGCCCTCAGACATGCAATGCCTTGTGCCTTTGACCCTGACAACATAATGTTGCATCAAACAAAATTGCAATGATAGAAAAAAATTTCAGGCTGGCTAGAACACTGCTTCCAAACCTTCCAGTATACATATGATTGAAGTCATGTACTTGTGCATGGGGACTTTTTTCTACCAGCTAGTGTTTCAAAGTAGTGTTTTACTGGTAATATGAAGTGAAGTCTGTCATTCTGTTGTTTGAAATATAGTTGGAAGATGAGGAGCTGAAGGAGTTTGAGTTACTGGAGAGAATGGCAGCGAACACATCTTCTTTCATCGGCAGCACCCCTGCAAGAGCCAACATGTACAGGAGTCAGGGGCCACCTGGGGTGAGTTTACAGACAACATGTTTGCCTTCGTCAGAAGGGTATGTTTTCAGTTTGGGCTTGGTGTGGGCATGGGTCTGAATGTGTGTCAACATCATAACTTGAGAAGTTGTGGATTAGGGTTGGCAAAAATCCCTAAATTAGGGTTAACCAAGAAACCCTAAATTAGAGTTCACAAAAACTGTATATAAGGGTTACAAAGAAACCCTAAATTTTGGGTTTGCAAAACCCCTGAATTTGGGTCACCACTAAGAACACACTCCTAATAGGACTGTGCTGAAGTAATCTTTCTGGACACATTTCAAGTTGTAGAGTGTACATGTAGATGAAGTTATCAAGTGTTTTTTCCCTTCATATGCTAAATTTGCTTATTTTCTGCATGCAGTCATTGAGACAACCATCAAAAAGTGATGAAGAAGACCAAGAGATGAATGAAGATGGAGAGGATGTCAATTTGGAGCAGACTTTAGAGGAGGGAGACAGCGACTTGGACCAAACCATCAAGGAACAGCCAGAGGGAGGGGACTGGGAGCAAGATGAAATGAAGGAAGGCAAAAGAGATTCTCCACTGGGGACAGCAGTCTTGGCTGAAGAAGCAGAAGAGTTGCAGGATAAAAAAGATGAAGAAAAAGAGGAAGACAGGGATTCTGAAAGGTGCGTTGATGGATCAAAGTTCACAAAAGGCATGACCAGATTTGAAATTAGAATTGAAAGTTCTCAAGTTAATTTTTTTACTATACGAAAGTTCATCAATCTGTAGTAGTTACATGTTTTAAAGTCAAAACTTTTGTTCCAACACAAAAGGATTCATGTTCTCACCTAGAGCTTTTGACCAGTCACTCTGGTCTTCTTCAATAGACTGACCCAGCGTTTCAGTCCTGAAAAAAAATTAGGGTTGGTAGGTAGGAATTTCATTTTTTTTCTTTCTTTCTTTTTTTTGGACTTTGGCGATCTCTAGTGATCATCCAACTTATACAATACTGATACAGTTTAAAAGTAAAACTTGCATGAGGACACTTTCATTTTCAATGTCAATGTTGCAAAACCAATTGTACAATGTTTCATCATTCAGGTGTCAGATCATGGAGCTAGAAAAGGTTGATCAGCTTGAAAAATTTATGTTCCTTGCAGGGGTCCACACAAAAAAAGGTCTGTACTTTTTTCTAGGGTCAGCCAGAAAACAGGAAACACATAATTTTTTTCCTAGGCCTTACCTCTTTTCTCTCCTCTGTTACCCCAGTGCCCATGATGATATAGCAGCAGTGTCCTCTCAGGCCCTGAATGTGGATTTTGATGATGATGACAGTTGGGGAGACATGAGTAAGAAAGGACTAGACGAGGATGACCACGACACCACTCTGGATGACAGCATCATATCAGGCGCTCCTCCTCTGGACACCTCCACACCTCCAGCCAAGGCAAACAGACCAGGTAGGTCTTTCCTGTCCTTGTCACAAGTTATTCTCAAAATTATGATCACATACATGTGTAACATACATGTGTAAATCTAGTAAACCAAAGACAAGCATAGACATTTTTTGTACAAATTTTACATGTTTACAAAAGATAAAACATATTGTAACAGACGTTTAATGGCAATACGCCAGTCATCTCTATATAGACTAGAAATTGTATTGATTCATTCGTCATTGTTGCCATACATTGTACCCCCTGTACATCTTTAGAACAAAAGTTCATATATCATTCTCAAATTTGGTGTTCTTGTTGCATGTTGGCAGAATGCATGTTGCATGTTGGCAGAATGTACTGCACCTTCAAAAACCAAATTTTTCACAGTTTGTTGCATGTCTTTTTCAAAACAACATTTAAAAGCTATAGACAGCATGTCATCCTTAACATATGGAGTTTAACCTTAAAAAAGGAGGGGTGTGGCATAATGACAGCATTTGGCTTGGAACCAGGAGTCCGAGATCGAGTTCAAATCCTGCCATGCTACCGATCTTGTGCCCATGGGAAAGGCACTTTACATGTATTTCCATCTTTTGCTCAGGCAAAAAAGAGTATGTCTGTTGCCCGTTTTTGTGTTTGTGTGCGTTGGTGGCGGCATAAAAATATGTTGAAGAGTGTGCCGTCGCCATGTCTTGTAATAAATGCTGGAATAGAAAAAAAAAGTGTTCTGCCAAAGTTCCATGCACAATTCATTTTGGGTTTCGTGCAGGTGCAGTCTGTTTTGCCAACATGCTGGTCTTCCTGATAACAACTTGTGAACTTGTAATTACAAAATCTAACTACTTTTAACATATATTATATCCACTGCTTCAAACATAGGTTTTTCTAGAAGAGCACAGAACAGCCCACCGCCTGATTCTGATGAAGTTCCAGTTCCTGTCAGCATCGAGCCTCCACCCACATCTGACCTGGTCGCCAAGCGCTTCCCAAAACTGAAACCTGCCAAACCTAAAGTCTCAGCTGAACAGGTGAACAACTTAAAATTCATGTACATGTACTTGTACAGTCACATCTGTCCAAAGGGGTGAAGTGATTCAGTTACGCTGAGGCCTAGGAAAAAAAATGTTGTGTTTCCTGTTTCCCAACCAACCCTACAAAAAACTGCCGACCCTAGCCTTTTTGTGTGAATCCCTGCTGATAAAAATGGCTAGGGTTGGTGGGTTTTGTTAGCTGGTAGCTATAGGGTTGGTCAGGAAACCAGAAACACAACATTTTTTTCCCAGGCCCAGTTAGTTCTGGAGTACTTAGTTTCACTTTGGCACAGAACCAGGACAGTTTCTCCTTAAAGCTCAGTCTGACCTGTTTGACACAGGCTTTGATCAAAGGTTGACTCAATATAATGCAAGACCTTTCAACCTTCCTGCAGTTGCGTATTAGTCACAGACAAACACGTAGTTACAGACATGCAACATGTACTTACTGTACATACCAATGAAGACTGCACTTAAAAGCTATACAAAATTCCCAGGAAGTTACAATCAGATAGTTTTGCTTCTTATGGTTTGTCCAGATACATGGGAGTGCTTGAGTTGTATATTATTTTACACTTGAAAAATCTAAGCCTACAACCTTCTTTTTCTTCATAGTTGATCAACTTGATTATGAGTCAGAAAATGTTTTACCCACTATTGAATTGAATCAATGAACAAAACATACCGGTACATGATGTAGAACTTTGTAGTTAGGCCGTAGCATGTTTGAAAAAGGGTCCCCTCTTTCCAGAAATATTTGCAACTTGAATGTTCTTACCTAATGCTAAAATACATCTGTTGACTATGGATTTCTCTGTTTGATGCACAGTCTCTATGCCTCAACATTTCTATACAGTAGTTTCCCATTGCAACACAAGTGCGTTATGACCACATGCAGTGGGTTCTGAAGTACATGTAATGTTTGCATGCATCTCAGTGCCCAACATTTCTCGATCTTGCTTCTTGGTGTTGTTCTGTTCACTCTGCTGAGTTTCTGGTGCACATTTTGGCCAACATGTACATTTTTTGGCACATGTACACAGACCAGATAGGAGTTTGCAAAGCTGCTGTCCTATAGCTTCCCTCAGATCGGTCAGCCGATTGATTCCTGCAAGTGGGTTGACTACTGAGTTTAAACAGAAGACCAAAATTGCCCAGGGCATGACTTGCTTGTGTAGGTCTTTCTCTGGGTATGTTTTCTGTAGTATCCATTTGACGGACATCACTATCAAACCTAACAACCAGAAGACTACTGGGACAATGGCAAAGATCATGACTACCCGGGTCTTGTATATGGTGCTAGATTGGAGAATTTTATTATCTTTTTGTTGAATTTTAAGCTTCTGCTTATTGGACCTTGTTGCTGACTTGCTGCTTGTACTTCGGTCACTGCTGGTCATTTGGTTCTGTTCCTGTTTCCTTTCTCTGAGTGGGAAAAGCTGTTTCTTCATTTTTGCTAATTGTCGTTGTTTTACGGCTTTGTACACAATGATGTTCACAAACAGTAAAACACCAATGAGGAAGAGTATGAGAGTAGAATTGAGTATGATGTACCCCGAGGGAAGAATGCCGAGGCAATGTCCAAGTCTCAAGTACTGTACCTCCATACAGTTCCATCCCATCAAAGTCGAAAATGCAACCAAAATAACAACAACCCATGAACACACTATTGCTACCCCGGCATTGCGTTGGGCATAAGTAGCCTGGTTGTGGTAGAATATTGGGTATTTTACCGCCACAAACCTGTCCACAGTCAGTAAGTTCAGAGCAAAAGCCGACATAATCTGGGAGAACATGGTGACAACCCTCACCTGTAGGACATTGTACGGTTTGTAGTGGTCTACGTTGTCGTAGACACGCCAAAGAATCATCGCACCCGCCAACAAGTCGGTAACGGCAAGGTTTGCGACATAAATGTACATAGGCTGGTGGAGTTGTTTCTTTGAGATGATTCCCCACAGCACAAGAATGTTGCAGATTACAATGGTGGCCCCCACAAGGACATAAAGGACACTCAGTACCTTGCTGAAGGGAGCTTCTTCGTACCAGTGGCAGGTGTTGACGGCTTGGTCATAGGACATGTGTTGTTGCAGAACGTTCCAGGTGTAGCACTCGAATGGATCTGCATGGTCCAACTTGCTGGGCCCTGGCACTGCAGCTGAACTGTTGTTTGACATCTTCTCAGTCTCTTGTTTGCCTCAGATTTCTTGTATCATCCTGTGTTCTTTCAGTTTTAGGAGAACCATTATTATATTCTCTCTCTCTATCTGGTTTATCATCGTTTGCTCTCCATAGCCAAGGGTTAGACGTGCTTGCACATTGATGCTGGGGCTTTATGGTAGCTCACCATTTGCCTTGTCCCTGTAAGTGGTTCTTGGGCACAGCAAATGTCAATACCCCTGCAGGTTAGCGTCTCAGCTACTTCACCTGCCAGCCACGCAGTGTCCCAACATTAGGTTATGCAAGCCATGATGTTTGGATTGCTCCTTTGGTATGGCAAACTCCAGGAATGGTACTCACTCACTGTCCGGTTTATTGTCTGTTGTTCCCCGTCTTCCAAGGGTTAGACGTGCTTGCACTGCACAACTGAGGCTTGATGGCAGCCCGCCACTTGCCTCTGTCCTGTGGGTTGACGTTATTTAAGTTCAAGTGGTGGAGGTCCTCCCTTATGTTGTCAAACCATTTCCTCCTTGGGCGACCACGAGGGTACGAGGTACATGTACAGGATTGCTTGGGTGTATTGCATTGGTTCTCCTCTCTGTTTCTAGCTGTCTGTATCACAAGACAGATCGAATTCAAGAGTTGTAGCTCTGTTTCAATTACAGTCTGTCTGTCAGGTTGTCGACAGATGATTAACATGAAAATCTGACCTGTTGCACAAATGTAGAATACATTACATGACCTGTTGCTTGCATGGCACTCTAGCAAGTACATCATCGTCATGTAATTGGTACCAGGGGGTAGTAATATTGATTTTCCCTCCAATTTGAAAATATACGTTGCACGATATCTTCAACACCCTTAGCCTCCCTAAGAGCACTCTGGCGTAGCTTTGTTATTTTCGCTACAATGGAACCTCGTAAGTGCATTTTTGGCGACGTCTCAGGGAGGAGCCTAATGGTACAGTATTGTGTGCAGTTTGCAAGAATCATAGTCGACAGATGTGAGTGGCAAAGATGATGAAGATGATGATGGCCCTTAGGTCAGGTTGCAATTATGGTTGGGTTCAGTCTGTCCCAGAGGGAGATCTGGTAGTGCTCATTGATTTTCACGGTTTTTGTTGATACATGACCTCCTTGACAGCTGTTGTTTCTCTTGCACAATGAAGAAAGACTTGTAGACACCATTATATATATAGTGAATGACACAATCGTCACACAAGATCGAAATATTTCATGGAGGTCTGAGATCCCTGAATTCTTGCTCCCTTGTAGGTTCAGGAGTTGCAGGATGAACTCCAGAGGAGGGAGCAGCGGTGGCAGGCCAGTCTGAACCGGATGAAGAACCAGCTCCAGGCGGCTCAGAATGAAAGCCAAGAGCTGCGGGAAGAACTGCGAATGATGGAGAAACACAGGCTAGATGCCTGGAGTAAAGCAGAGACTAAGGTCAAGAGACAAAAATATTTTTTTCTGTTTGTTTGTTTGTATTTTTGCTTTCATCACACCAAAACAAACACCAAAAATTTATGTTGATCTTTCGGTAACTTTCTTTGACACATGTTTATTATCTACAGAAGAAGGATCATGCCCCAGTCAAGGCCTTCCAGAAGCAAAAAGTGACAAAGGAGATCTCTCCACATAAGGACGAAGAGAAGACGACTAGTGAAGACAGTGACAGGTCTCCAGAAATGTCTGCACCGCCCAAATCTCAGCTTCAAACTCACACCATCAAAGACCGGAAGGAAAAAACTACAAAACATTTTCCCAAAGACGAGTTTGATTCCGATTTCGATGCCATTCCCGAAGAAACTCCAAGGAAGATTCCGGTAGCTGTAGCGCTTGAGGAGCACCCTTCTGGTGTTAAGACGTCAGATGGCCCAAAGCCAAGGAGACCGCTACAGCGGAAGAAGGCGGTGAAGTTTGCCGGAGACGGGGATTTAAGCCTGGAAGATGAAGATTCTGATGGTGTGGAGCAACTTCAACATGCAGATGGAAAGGTCTAGTATCTTCATAGTTATCTATTCACTAATTCTTCATAATTATCTATTAATGCTGTATGGATGGCTCTATATTTAGTATTTTATCCTTAATTTGTAATATTAATTGTGTAATGTGTAATCTTTCCCAAAGGGAGAAAGTCATTAATCACATCTACTTTTGGTAGCACTTGATGTTTTCACAGGTGTTTTTCGTTACATGACCTCCTTGACAGCTGACAAACTGGTGTTGTTTCCCTTGCGCCATAAAGAAAGACTTGAAGACACCATGGTGAATGAATATATGACATTTTACATCACACAAGACCTAAATATTTCATGTAGGTCTCTAAGATCTCGGAGTTTTTGTTTTTGACAGACGGAGAATGTTCTGAAGGATGGAAGACGTGTTATCACCTTCAGTAATAACGGGACCAGGAAGGAGATCAGTGCTGATAGACAGACACTCATTGTCACATTCTTCAACGGAGACATTAAACAGATCATGCCTGACCAACGGGTGGTAAGTAAAACTAATACCATTAAGCTCAATAACTACATGTACCAGGCTAAACCTGTGCATTTTACTGTACGATATGCTCCAATGATGCAAATACATTGTAATAATCTTCAATTTAATGCAAGATTTTGGTTGTTTATAAGCAGCATATTATGATAGAATTTGATGAGTTTGCCATTGAATGGTACAGAGTATAAGCCAATTAGGGTAGATCAGTGTGGTGTTTTCTAGACTGAAAACTTGGCAACACAATGTCACTGGAAAAGAGTTCTTCAGAAGCTTTTTTAACTAGTCATTGTTGAAGTAAAACTGTTAGAAGGTACATGTAGATACTAATTTGAAATAGCCAACATATAGAGAATAAATAATTTAAATTTGTATAATTTACAGTGATATGGAGCACACAAAGTCCTATGACCTGCACTGATATAAACAAACCTGTCCTTTGTGCTGATTGTAACTGTTATGACTTCCTTATAGCTTAAAGTTTTGTATGTCAAGAATGTAAATTGTGTTTTACCCTGTTCCAGATATACTATTATGCAGAGGCCCAGACCACCCATACCACTTACCCTGATGGTCTGGAGATCCTACAGTTTCCCAACAGTCAAATGCAGAAACACTATCCAGATGGAACCAAAGAAATCACTTTTCCAGACCAAACTATCAAGTATCTGTTTCCCAACGGGGATAAAGAAAGTATTTTTCAGGTATGCTATTCTGGTTCTAGCCATTTATTGGTGGTACCAAAAAATAAAGGGGCTCCTCATATACATTTGTGTAGCTTGTTTTTGGGCTATTTCAAATTTTGAAGTATAAAATGATGACGGAAATGTGGAGTAAATGTCAATATCAGACAGATTTCCTTACCCAGAATTTTTTTGTTTTGTCCTTCTGATATTTCATCGCATGCCTAAATTAACAAATGTGTTTTGGTTTTCCAGGATGGCACTGTCCTAAGAGTGTCCAAGAGTGGAGACAGGGTGGTTGAGTTTGCCAATGGACAGCGAGAAATACACACTCTAAACTACAAGGTACATTCTTACTGATACTGATACTTGCAATTAAGCATCATGCTTCACCTCAATTTAAGATAATTTCTCTTTACCTTTTATAGAAGATACATGTATATGATGAATCAGACATTATCCTTTATGTACAATTTTTTAATACAGAAACGGGAATATCCAGACGGGACAGTGAAAACTGTGTATCCAGACGGTAAGCAGGAGACCAGGTATAGCAATGGGCGTATCCGTGTCAAGGACAAGGATGGAAACGTCATTGTGGACAAAAAGATGTGAGAAAAGCCCAGTCCTCAGTTGTAAAGTTCAAGCTTCGTTCCAACACAAGAAGGGAACTCACCATGAATTTTCATTCAATCTCGTCAACCTTCATCAGATGTATGATGCACTCGCTGCAAGTCGGAAGTGTGATGACGTCAGGATTGCATCAAATGTGGTGGGAAGACGGAATCTACATCACGGTTCACTTGAAAGCCCAGTCCTGCTAAGGCCCTGTCACACAGTCATGAGTTTGGCCTCCCGAACACTAGCCAAACGCTCCCAAACTATGGTTAGGAGTAAGGTTGGCTGGTGTTCGGCCAGGTCGGCTACTGTTCGGCTGTGCCAGCCAAATGTTTCAAAATGTTTACAACATTTGAGTGAAACTTTGGCCATTGTTGGCTGCTTTTCAGGAGTATAGGTCAGTGTGTGGTTGGAAGTCAAATTTGACTCAAATTTAAGTCAAATTCGATTTGATTCAAATACATGTAGAAAGATAGGTGTTGCCTAAGTCTGGTCAGATTGCTCCAGAACTTCAAACAACCTTGGTTGGCTGGTGATCAGGGGAAGGTTCTGAATGTGTGACAGGGCTTTAGATGCGAACATTTTGCGTCTAAGTCATCTACACTAAAAAATTGTATGATATCCCTCTTACATGTACAATGTAGCATACTGTTGTTACTGCATTGTTTCCCTACATGTATTTTAAAGGAAAGAAAAAATTATCCCAATGTAAGATTAGGGATTCATTTCAATTGTAGGATTATGATTGTGCATACATGTACAGTGTAACTCTCAACTCAAAGTAGTGAATTTGAGACTATTGTGGAAATATTTTGGGTGTATAAAATGTAAGATTCAGTACAGTAACTGTGCCATCAAAATGTTATGCCATAAAATGTAAATTTTACAAAGCGCTGATTATTTTGTGTGGAAAAGTTTAATCTACAATTACATTCCTATTATATTTGCATAATATATAATAAAGTGTATACCAGTACACGTGTTAACTTGTTCCCAGGCATATAATAAAAATATGGAAAAGTTTGCCTTCATTTTGTGTGCATTTTGTACAAAATTATAACTATTGGTGGTATACTGGTAGTCCGGTACCAACAATCTAGTATTATGCATTGTATTTCAAATCAGAAAAGAATGAGAAACAGCCACTAGTACACATGCATTTCACTTGACAGGATTGTAGTACATGTATAGTACACATATAGGTGGAATTTCCTTTTACTCTTACACGTGTAGGTTGTTGTAGTTCCTTAATTTGCTACATTGTACATCCTTTACTATCACCATGTACTAAAAAAAACCTTTTAGTTAAAGGTATTCATAAATTTCAGGGCAGCAAAACGGAATTTTCAGTCAATTTTCTGGCCATTCTTTTATTTAATGTAGCAAGTTGAAACAATCCTATCCCAAAGCATACTGATATCTGTGATGCAAAAATGTGATGTCACTGACAGAAAATGGTTGCTTGTTTTGTAATTGTATTGTAGGCTGGTTCTAATTATTTATGGGTGGTACCAAAAAATAAAGGGACTCCTCACGTAGCTTTTTTGTGCTATTTCAACCGCTTCAAGTATGAAATGACAAAAATCTGCTAATGTCAATAAATGTCAATAACAGATTTTTCCACCCAGAATATTTTTTGTTTTGCTGTCCTGAAATTACATCGTATGCTTTAAACTATGCAGCACCAGGGTCAGAAAACCTGCTACATGACATTTTTAATCCATGAAGGTCTTCCCTAATGACATGTTCTAACCTAAAGCCATTTTTCCACAAAGAACTAAGTGTTCCAACCCGCATTCCACTAAATTGAAACCTTTAAAAAGATAACTTCAGGGTTGTCTTTACACCACCTGCTGTGAATTAATGAGTGGGTATTAAAGACCCATAAATTTAAAAGTATGTATTGGCGTACAAAAAAATGTAACGCCAATTACTCTATGCAAAAGTGTATTTCCGACATCGATCATCTAGCAAATAGAACCGATATAGTGTGAATTTAAATTGAGTGATGTAAACTACATTTTACCACAAAAACACTTTTTTTATTCCAGTATTTAGTTCATAAATTGGTCTTTAGACGCATATATATTGTAACTATCCCCAAGGCTACAGTCTCTCAAAGTATTTCCACAAGTTTTTGAGAGTGGTGTTTCAAGCTGGTGTGTTACGCCGAAAGGCGGTTATACCGGCTATATAGATACAGATACAGATACATACATGTAGTATAAAACTCAATTTGTCTCCCATTCTGTTCAAATCATCCCATTAAATACAATAGCTCGTAAGAATCCTCGTAAGCACATTTTGTTTATTTAGCGCGTTAGAGAAAAGGTAAAACGTGTGTAATGGGGGAACAACAGGTCAAAAAGGTGACAACAGTGTCTTTTTTGTCTTTGTACTTTTATGTGGTATAATCAGGGGGTCTATGTGATATATGTTTATGGTTAGATAATCTATTTGACAGGTTGGTTTGTGTAGACAATGGCGTCGACGCGTCGTTAACCTACATTTTGTCCGCATGGAGCGTCGAAGTCTATGCGCCCATGCAATTATTCTTTTCTCACTTACATGTATAGCAATATTGTAGTCTCCACCAGGCTTCTTTGCAGGCTCACTAAGCTGACAATTAAAAAAGTAGCATTTGTAGACATTTGGCTAATAACTGCCCCACATTAGCACACTGCATCAGTATTACATACGTTTTTGCGTTTAAACAGTACAGAAACAACCCCTAAGATGAGTCTCTTATTTTCTGGGTGGCGCCCAAAAAAATCAGCCCAGGCTCCTCTAGCAGTAACCGTTTCCCCTCTCAATCATTTTTGGCATTTTTGCTCCACGAATGTCGATATCCATTTGGATAGCGTAGTTTCAACTTAGTATGTAGATAAGTGACTAGAATACTAACTTAAACTAGAAAGGCCAATATTTGCTTTGGAGCAAATACAGCGATGGGTTCACCACATTTTACCACATGGCAGGGAAAGAATGAGAAACACAAGGGAAAACAATGATTTACATTGATATAACTATAATATGAAGTAAAATACAACTAAAACAACAGTTGGATAGCTATTCCCTACTTTATTGGTTAGGATTTTTAATTGCATAATGCAAACTGTTGATTTTCAAAATAAAAAAAAACGTCCATGCCCGGCATTCCAATGCTGGAGCAGGAAAGCTTGAAATACCTACCAAAACACTTGAATACAGACATACTGTCAGTATGGAAATGCTTCTGTGCAGGTGTTAATCAAGTTAAATCCCAACAGCCAATCAGCAAGAAGTATAGAGGAAAGCTGCATGCCTATTGGTTGATGCCCTGCATTCCATTGTGATGACTCATGCCCAAACGTGGTAAACAAGGCAAACTAACACAGTAATACATTTGCTATAACACAGCCAAAAAACTCAAATAAAACCATTCTAAAAGCCTGTATCACAATGATTTAAAAAACGCCTAGGGGTATTTGCCCACTGTACCTCCATACCAAATTTCAGGACCTTAGGCCCTAAAATGAAGAAGCTGAATCCATTTAAAAAATGGCAGGAGAAGGAGGAGAAGAAGAAGGAGAAGAAACATCAGAAAAAGCAATATGGTTTCACCACACCACTTCGTGGTGTGGTGAACCCATAACAACAGAACAAGTTTGCAGATATTGCAAAGACATAGGCAGATAGGCTAACATGTTATCAATGAATTTTTGAAAACAATATTTGAAAATAAACAAATCATACTGAAGTGAGAGGAATTAAATAAGTTTACAATGTTGTTATTGTACAGGGCTGCCAAGTCAGTCAGTGCTATTGTTGCAGCTTTACAACCTGATCTTGTAAAAGTGACAGACTGGGTCAATGCCAATCGTCTTGTCATGAACGTACTGAAAACAAAATGTATGCTATTTGGAACAGCCCGCCGGCTAGCTCTACCTGACACATCTTTGAATCTTGCAATTGGTTCGAAGAAGGTAGAACAGGTAACCGAAGCAGTTCTCCTGGGTTTGCATATGGATCCATCGCTTTCTTGGAATCTCCATGTTAAACACCTCATGGCAAAACTATCAAGAAATCTAGCCTATGTTAGAAGATATGTGTGTTACATGCCAGATGCTGTGTGGAAGGTTGTAATCCAAGCTTTAGTGCTATCAATCTTGAACTACTGTTCACCTATACTAGCTAGTGTTTCAGAGTCATGTACTAAGAAGATACAAGTTATACAGAACAAAGTCTGCAGGCTGGCTCTGAAATGTCCGTTCGATACACCAGTTGCCAAAATGCACTCTGATCTTGGTTGGTTATCGGTGAGAAATAGATTTGATGTCAGCACTCTTAAGTTATTTTTCAAGATTGTAACCACAAGTGAGCCACAGGAGATCTATAAATCTCTGGTACCAGTTCATGCGTCTCACAGGTATTCCACTAGGCAATCAGTGCACGACTACTCATTGCTCAAACCTAACAACAATTGTGGAAAGAGGATGTTTGTTTACAGATCTGTAAAGTTGTGGAACGCATTACCGAGTGAAGTTAAGACGACTGCATTAGCAGCTGATGAGAGGCAGTTCAGGAAAATGACACGTCAGCTTTATGGAACTTAAAGGCTTACCCTGACAATATTGTATATATTCGAAGCAATTTAGTAACTCACAAGTTTTATTGTTGATTTTAGTCATAATTAGTTAAATGACCTCTGGCCTCAACCTCAATTATTTTAATGTGTAATTGCAATGATTGTATGTATTCAGTGCTTGTATTTTATGTGTTGTACTGTTAATGAGCCCTGGAAGATTAGCCCCTCATGGGGCTAAAGGGCATCTCAATAAATCAAATAAATCAAATCAAATTGTTCTCAGTGAGAAAAACGACAACAGCATCATCATAAAGATGTTAACCGAGGAGGTTTAGAAAGTTCTTGCATTAACGTTTAAGAACGATGTAACATACGGAAAGGCTGCTAAATCTTTAATGTAGTCAGGCAAACGTTTTCTTATCTTTTCCCTGCAGTTTCTGTGCCATACCTCCAGCCTGAAGCACTATGGGAGACCAGAGTAAATGGGCCTACATCATCGGGATCCCGTTTGGCATCATTGCCTTACTGGTGGTCATCCTGATTCCACTCAGCTTCTCTGATCTACAGTACTATCAGGTAACTGTCGTACTCTGGGAGATAACCCTAACCCTAACCCTAACCCTAACCCTAACCCTAACCCTAACCCTAACCATAACCATAACCATAACCATAACCCTAACCCTTACTGGTGGTCATCCTGATTCCTCTCAGCTTCTCTGATCTACAGTACTACCAGGTAACTTATGCATGGATGTAGTGGCGTCCAATAGCCGAGTGGCTTAGAGTAAGTGGAAAGGAGACCGAGAGGTCATGGGTTCGATCCCTGGCATTCCTGGCTTGATGTTGTGTCCTCGCACCACCCAGGTGTAAAATGGGTACCTGACTTTGGTTGGGATGGTTAAAGGGAGTGGAAGGAGAGGGATGGGCTCTGCTTCCAACACTGTGCTCTAGACACAGTGAATCAACAAGTGCCCATACAGCCTCATAAAGGCTTAGTATGTAAACCATTATATTTACCTTTGAGTTAAGTGTGGCGTGTTCCTGAACTTGATTGAGGTATGGCTTGAGAGTCTAGACCCTCAGAGAGGACGTCCCAACCCTACAACCTCTCAGAGAGTTGAGTAAGGAAATTGGTCTTTCACAAGGAAGCATATATATAGGGACTTTTTAGGTATATGACCCCAGCCAGAACCTTTAAATTCTTTGTCAACAACCCTAACCACAAGACCACTTTGCCACCCGTATACTAGTAGTTATACTGGCAGAATTAAATATTAAGTTCTAATGTTACTGGTACCACTGTTGCACTGTCTGTTGGAAATCTACCATTATCTCCAGTTTGGAGATCAAGTAACAGACAAAGGTTCAGCTGGTGTCAAATACTCTCTCTCTCTCTCTCTCTCTCTCTCTCTCTCTCTCTCTCTCTCTCTCTCTCTCTCTCTCTCTCTCTCTCTCTC